CATTTACGCTGCAGTTTTTTAACGCGAGACTTTAACAGTGTATAAATCAGTAAATAGCACAAAATAAAATATACATATATTATTTTTTGCATAATTACTCCGGTATAGTATTTTTATATTAATTGTTTTCATTGAATTAAAAAATCGTATCTTATTATTAAATTCTAAATTACAATTAATAATATTATTTGGCTCAACAACCGATACATTTATGTATATTTGTTATACTCAATGAGATAATGATGTGTAAAGTTACGAAAAATTATTAGCGGCAAAAGTGTTATAATTAGATTGTTATCGGTGTCTTAATCGTGTGAAATTATTTTTTGGTTCAGATGGCAGTTTCTTGAATGCATGAAGTATTTAATGTGCGTGCAAAATTTGGGAGTGGCCGTTACACACGATACGCAGCTTACAAGAGAGGGTGGAAGTTGTCTTCCCTAGCAGCAGAAGAATCCACTGGTTTCCGGTACACGCAAAAGTCTCATTAACTTTCGCCACCCGATATACCGTCCCGTTTTAAAATGGATCTACTGTTCATCGACCAGGAACAGTAAGAACGGTAACCGACCAAAGAATACATTTTGCACAATGAAGGCTAATGTGGCCGCAATAAAAGGTTGATATAAGTTTAATGTTCTGCAGGTATTCGTAGATTAATAGCTGGTACCGCGGATAAGTCATTTGAATTCAAGATCCGTTGTATCGTTTATAATTGATTGCACGCGGAATCCGGTTTTATTTCTTTTTGTTTCCGACATATAATCTAATTCATGGATTTATTTCCGATATAAATTATCGATTAAAATTATGCTAATGTGCATGTAATAGATTAACGTCACATATATACCCAATGATCAAGCGTGCGTCGCTTTAATTTACAACGTTATGACGGAACATCCTACGCACGCCGCGATGAGAAACGTCGACGATTCCACGGCGGATGAGCAGCTAGCGAAGCATCGTGACGTCGGTGGACTATCATCGTATCAATGCGGCGGAGATTGACAGTCCTGGTCGTGATAAATGATATTTCCAACGTCCTACTCCCTTCCCCCCTGCCCCCCTCCCTGCTTCCTCCCTCGTACCATAGCGGATCCATCCCCGCTGAGTTCGGCTCGGCACGGAGGGTGCCCCGACCGGGCAGACTGAGTAGCGAGGAGGGAAGATATTCGCGGCGAGAAGTAAACACGTTACGCAAACAAACGCTGGATCGATAATCCCTCCCTCCTTGAAAGTACACTTCATACATGAGATTTTTTTAAAAATATATCTGACACGAATATTTCTTTATTCAAATACATCGACTCTAGTTTGACCAACTCTTCGGGGTCTCTTCTCTTCGACCAAAACGCACAAAGCAATACACGCGACAGTGTGAAATCTAAGTGTGAGAAATTAGACACTCTTAATTTGTCAGTGCTTACTTTATGAGGCATGATGCTTTTCCCTATTTTTCTTTTTATGAATGAGTAAAAATCTCTTCAGTCGTAAACTCGTGCGCACGATCAGGATACCTGAGATCTTTATAGCCCTGCTGCATTTAAACATGGCTATAAAAAATAATTAGAAGATGTCTATATTATACAGTTAGTAAAGAGAAATTTAACCCCTTTTGAAATGCCATCATTTTCGGAATAACGGCCTTAAATCAAAATATAGGAAATACATTATGCGATTAGATATTTCGGGAAATATCTGTATTGTGCGGTTGATTTTCAATTTCACACGATCTACGATTTTTTAAGTGATGAAGTTACTAAGTATTCGTAAAAGGACGAATTTTATTAAGTTTCATTTTTTATAATTTATATAATATGTATAATTTAGTTCAAAAATTATGTATAATTTACCTTACAACTAAATAGAATTATTTCCTTTGTCGGTCTTTATACCTATCTTTGACAAAATAATTTAACAGGATATTCTGCCGGAAAAAAGGGAACTGTATGTGAATAACGGAGGAAAATTCACAAAGCCAGGTATCTTCTTAGATTTTTTCGGTTTCCTTTACATAAAGTTACGTCAAAGGCTGTCAAAGATTTGGCAATTGTTCGAAAGTTTCTGTTTCGTCCGTTCCGAAAAGGCACGTTCTGTCCCAGCATGTCTCGGCATGATTCAACGTTTAGGTAGTTATTGGAAAAAACAAGGTCAATATGGTAGACATATGCAATTTTATTATATTTTCGTTTACGTAGTTAAAGGTTTGCCATATTAGAAATATATTTATACATGTTTGTGTCAACATTACTTGAGTCTGTTAAAATTTTTGAAACAGATATAAATTTAGCTTCAATAAAATGTTTAAAATAACAAAATAAATTGCCGTTTTGTATTAATATAAATACATAAAACCATAGATGGCACAATTTGTCGTAGAATCACACCGCAAACGAAATATAAATTAATCATTCAGTAATAGATACCGTCTGGTTTAATTTCGATACTCCCAATTTTCCCAAATGGCTATAAATGTCCTTCTTTCTTTTCTTCTGTCTCTTTCTTTCTCCCTTCCCCCTCTCGTTTTTGCGAAAATTTCTTATTTCGTTGCTCACATGCCGAGGATCGGATAGGGATTATATGGGCACATATGTCGCCCTATGCAATCTGCTACATTAACTAATCAATACAAACGTATTTCTTGCATTCAGTATATATTTTATATTTTATATTTTATACAGTTGTATTAGATTTAACTTTTACTTGCAATACTTTAAGTATATTGTAGCATCATAATTTAAAAAAAGTGAATTATGTGATTATATAATTTTGTACTAGATTATTATACATTTTTCTATAATTGCGTTGTTTCTATTTTGCCAATTTCATGCTTATGCACATGTAAATTGACAACTGTCGAAAAAAATGTCACGTCTACATATAATTTATTGCTACCTCTTTAGTCACGATCCTTTTTTTTTTAGAAAGAAAGCTTCACAATTTATTGCCGATCAAACAATACTCGGTGAAATCATGTCACTCGGTCACAGTGAAATGCTTCAATTTTTCGGTTTTATCTTTACCTGCCCAGCAGAGCTTTACAAAAGACTACAATACTTCTGCAATATTTCTAGCACAATAGTCACAATAGTTACACAATAATCTGGTGAAAGTTAAAATATGCGTGAAAATTTTTTAATGGGCGGAAAGAACTGAACATATGTAGAATTGTTACAGTTTATTATTGTTATTATTATAAAAAAAATTTTTTAAGGTGGAAAAATTATTTTATTTTGTAATATTTCAAACTAAATGTTATTTGGATTCTTTTATATCCTAATTTTGATCATTTTTAATAATTTACCATGTTATAATCAGATGTTATCATGCAGTAACATAATAATAAGGTATGACATACTGATAAAGTAATCTTTTCGAAGATAAAAAGTGTATAGAACTAAATATATGCTTGCATACATAAAAGAATAAATTGCAGTTGAATATCGATTAAACTTACATTAAGAGAAATCAAATTACTACCAACGTGCGTATAATTATGCTGTTTTAACTTTCAGACGGCGAAAGGGATTTCTTTTGTGGCGTACCTATATTATATTATATCGTCGAGATACGACGCAAGCCAGCGAAAATAAAGTCAGTAGCCAAAATCATTAACGAAATGCTCCCAACTCCGGAACCCTCGGCCCTTCCCACAAGTATCGCCCGTCAAGGATTATTATTTATTGCTATCATGCCAGTCGGCTAACACAGAATGCATTTCACGTCCACACGCGTGAGAGCGCGGAAGCGTTCTTCTAGCATCGTTTGATTCTCCGTGTATGCCTAAATTTGATTGTGTACATGTGACGCGTACGAGTGTGTGCATGCATGCAGACGCGTGTCCGTTCGGATCGGCCGTTCAGAATCCCTGCCCGTAGGATTGGTCACCATTTCGAACCATCTATCAATCACTTTTTTCGGCCGTGTTTTACTATTTATATAGTTTGTCCGCAAGGCCGTTTATTATCTTCCGTTAAGGATAATTATTTTTTTTTAATTCACCCTCCCTATGGTTGACGCCTTGTCGTGTTTAATCAATATGTCTCACTTAAGCGTTCTAACGTTCTCGTTGTTTTATAATCGACAATAAGGATATTCGATGGAATCCGTCGTGTAAATATGTTTACAAATATTGGTAACGAAATGAGAGAAATTAACCGGTGATCTCCAATTTGAAGAATACACGATAATTCGTACTTCTCGAGGCAATTGTTACTAACCTTGCTCTTACTAATTACAAATCACTCTTTCGTGGAATCGGAAAAAAAGAAAACCAGTAAGAAAAATACAAAAGATAAAGTATTACTCTATTACTTTTATTTTCGCTTATTTGCTTTTATTTATTCCGAAGTTTTTATTTATTTAAAAAGTTAGATTTAATTTAAAGAATCGATTTAATAATAATAAAATTATTTTACGCACAGTTTTGCGTTTTGACTAAGAAAAACGATGAAAAACGCCATTAATCATTAATCAATTATAAAATAAATTTATTTTTGAAATTCTTAAGTTAACGAGAATCTTATTTTATAGTTTTTTTTTATTATACCCTTGTTTCATTTTATATATACCTTCCTTTTTAGTTTTTCATAAATTGTAATAATACGAGTAAGAAATATTTATTGAAGAAATATTTATTACGCGCTTAAACAACGTAATTAAAATTATTGATACCTTTGTTAACGTATTATTTTTATAAATGAATATTTTATATTATAAAAGTAAGCTGTGTTTCCATTCCAAATTGACGCCGCAGCCACGCTTCTGTAGCAGAGCTATATTCTATACGTGCACATGGTACCACGTATTGTGTGAGGTCGGGTTGGAAAGAGAGAAGGGGGAATAGCATGGGGTTTTGTGTCAGTAGTGTTAATAGTGGGAGGGGACTGCGGCACGAACAGCAGATCAAAAATCGAATGTATATCGGGGGTGGCCTTAGCAGTGAATGAAAGAGCAGCTGACAAAGACAGAGCCCCCCTGCGATACCTCGGTTTAGCAATAGGCGCCTATGGAGAGACTTTTGCCAAGGGTAGCACATCCCCTCCTCCATTCTTTCAAAGACCTCTGGTCACGTACCGCACTAGCAAAAGCTCTGTCGGAGTTTCCGATAGAATCGTAAAGTCTTCCCCTCCTCTTCTCCCCTCTTCCCGTCTATACCAATAGACACCCTTGAAGAATAACCGAAAACGTACAGAACAGCAGTAACGTCAGTAACTCTTAACTAGTCTTGCCGTATGCTTCGGTTTGAAGAAACGGTCAAATATAGATGTATAAGTTCTATTAACGTTGAGTTGTGATATCTTGCATTTTCGTATTTAAATGCAAAAATTGGATATTTTATGTCGAGTTGTTCGGCCGTGCAATGTTATAGTATAGTGTGTACATAAATACTGAAAATAAGAGTATGTGATGATTTATGAACATGTGATAATACGACAAATATGGATACGAGTTCAAATAACTATCAGAGCTATTATCCGACAAATATACCATCGCATCAGTCATATTATTCACAGACAGCGCTAAAGTGTATACCTGAAGAGCGTACACCTTGTGAAAGACACTATAGTTCAACCAGCTTATTGAAGAATGTTCTACTGCATGGCAAGGAAACAATACAACAATGTTATACACAAATGCAGACGAATGCAGCTTCGTCATCCCAGATCATGCCAAACAGTCAAATTGTGTCGCATAATCAATATCAAACCTATGAGTTATGTACGTCGTTACCCAACATCCAATTCGACATATCTGCAGCAGATTGTGATCAATTTTTTGAAAACTTAGAAAAGCAATCTCAACAACAAGAAAATAATAGATATGGCCAAAATTATTTAGAACACACTGTGCAATCACAAAATTACGCTTTATCTAATACTGCTGGACCGTCCACTATGCCAATGCAATATCAACAGAACGAATCAAGACAACGAGCCATTTTTAATGCGCAACAAGAATCGCTGAACAGCTATATTATACGTAATAATAATAACAATAATAATAATATAACGCAAAAAAACAACAATATTAAAACACCCGATCATAGCAGCAAACAACAAGATTTTCGTTCCAACAACGTCGCACAATATCCCTGGATGTTTAAAAAGACAAATGGTTAGTTATTCATTATAATATGTAGTATATACGTGAATATGTTATAATAATTAGAGTAGTGTTCAAATGATCTTTGGTCATATTTCATCTTCGTGTATGTATGCTTGCGTGCGTGCGTGCGTGCGTGCGTGCGTGTGCGTGTGCGTGTGCGTGTGCGTGTGCGTGTGCGTGCGTGTGCGTGTGCGTGCGTGCGTGTGTGTGTGAGTGTGTGTGAGAGAGACGCCTGGCTCTGTATAAGAATAATCGACAAATCCTGGCTTTGATCCCGTTCCTTTCATATAATAAAATTCGTAAATCCTTAAATCTACTAATTTATTCTTAATGTATTTCGTTTGTAATGAAAAATTATTTATTACAGCCAATCAAGGAAATGGTACCGAACAGAAGCGCACGAGACAAACCTATACGCGCCAACAAATCTTTGAACTGGAGAAAGAGTTTTGTTCAAACAAATACCTTACAAGACAACAGCGTTTAAAATTAGCTAAACGTATTTATTTGACTGAGCGTCAAATTAAAATTTGGTTTCAAAATCGACGAATGAAAGAAAAAAAGGAAACATGCGTATCACGTAAGAAATCAGTTTCAACTAAACCCGTGTTAACAGCATCAGATCCAACAGTACCAAATTCCAACAGCCAGATGATGATTCATAAAGAACCTAAAGAAGTATTCAATCCAGCGCAACATAATCAGTTTGCTCAAGCGCAACAGTCACAATTACAATCGCAGCAACAATTTAACGAAGGACATCAAAATTATTTTTATAATCATCAAAATATGAATATGTTAGCGACGTATTATTTAAATAATTTTGAAGGTAATAATACTCCCGAAAATGGTATGAGAGAGATAAGGCATACGTTAAGTAATTTTTTTCCAACATATCAATCACACGCAAAAAAATAACGTAGCATTATCAGTTAAATATCAGTAGTCAATATTTCGAACTTTGCTGTCATTGCTAAAAGTTAGCTATTAAAGATAAAATATATTTGTTGCGAGATACAATTTTATTAGCTAAAATAAAAGCGTATTTTAACAAGAGTAACCAAGAAAGTGGCATACGAAAGAATGATTTTGCTGAAAAATTTAAAAGTTTTGCTGGATATTCCTCAATAGAATTAGTAAACTAAACGTCATTTGATTCTAGCAACAAATATTTTTAGCTGTATCGCCTAAATTTTAACAACTAATAAATTTAGCTTTGGCAGTAACGATATTAGCTGTCCCTATTTTAAAGACACACATTAGCTGCCACGGCTAGCATTTTAGCTGTATTGGCTAATCCTCTCTCTGCGTGCAGCAATGTTTAATTAGTCTGCAATATAGCAATTAAAAATTAATAAATTCTTAATTTATATATTTACTGTTCAATAGTAATTTTTGATATTAAACATTCATACGGAGACTTTCTCTCATTAAGAACTATATATCAAAATTTTTTTTTTCCGACGTTAAAGTTATTGTAATTATTCGTATGTAATAATTACAATAACTTCAATATACATGTAACAAGTATTTGCGCGAAAATAAATATAAATAGCTCTGTATAATCAGATCAGACCTACATCGGCGTTTTGAAATTAATCGAAATAGTTTTAAGAAACGAACTTATGGCAAACTCAGGACAAAGTTGGTCCTTCACGCTGGTTCGTAAAGAGGGAATGCCGCCACGGCCGAGATCGGGGCAGCTGACCTTGCACTATGATTTATGGCCGAGCTAAACAACGAGCATTCTATAGCTCAGGTACACGAAAGCTCGGCCATTCACATCGCATTTTCTCCAGAGCATTCTTTTCCTAACTTTGCATTTCGTTAGTCGATTTTGCCCATGAGTATTGCATACGTCATCTAAAAATATTTTGACATATAGAGCAAAATTCATATACATTATGATTAATGACAGTATTCGCATTTAGGACGTTGCTAATCAGAATATTGATTACATTTAGACCGCTGTTAATCAAAATATTGATTATATTTTCCATTCTTTTCTCCTAGTTTGCAGATAACTGCATTAAAATTGTATATAAAGATATATATATAAATTAAAACTAATTTATATATATTTATAATAATTCTTTATTTACAGTAATTTGCAACATTTTATATTAAATAGATTTTTTTTTAATGTACAGATTTATATATATGTTTCAACTTATCCATAATTATATAATTTATACTTTTTTAACATTTTTTATATATAGGATAATTTCATCCAAATTGCAATTAATATAAATATTATATATAAATATTATACATCACGAAATTAATTGTTCAGACAGTACCTCATAATCGATTTCTTTAAATTATTAAGAATTCGATTAAAAATGTGGTTCCACGCAGGCATTATAGAATTGCCAATTTCCATTTATAATTGACTTAGTTGTGTGTCCAAATTTAAATAACATTCGAACAACAATTTAAAGAAACAATGGTACATGATCTGAACAATTAATTTTATCTATCTGTATATCTGTATACAAAGAACATTTTCAGTATTATTGTATAATACTTAAAACTTGTAGTTATAATATTTTATATTTCAATTAACTAATAGATATATAGTATTTTCAGTAAAATCACTTTGTTTAAAAAATATTTAAAAAATTAGAAATTAAAAAATTACATTTATAAATATAAATACAATTTATTAATCTTATAATTTTTTAATTTACTAATATCATTATATAGTTTTTATACATAATTATGGATATGAAACATTTATGTTCACTTGCGTATTATGAGTAGTGTTAACTTGAAGCTATTTGGCAAGCTTAGAACGTTAGAATTTAGGGGATGACTAGATAGAGTGGGGAGGATAGGTATGCAGCTGCGCTGTTCACACGAAACAAGATGGTTGAAAGCGTAAGCGTGCGTGAATGAGTGTTCTCCTTTTATTCTTATTTTTTTAACGGTTTAAGTGTTTTTTCGCCCGAGAATTTTTTCTCTTCAATTTCAACGTACAGTGTTTTCGGAAAATGGATATAAACATTGCAAGTGAAAAATATTGACCATAAGTTTTCATCAGTTTCATCGGTTACAAGTTGACAGTGTAATAGATATTAGAGTTTAATTATGAAGAAAAGACACATTCTTTCATTGTGACTTTTGTATTTATGTTACGTCATAAAAATATTAATAAATTAACTTAAAATAAATAAATTTCTAAATAAGAATGAATTAATAAATTAATTTTGATAATCCAGTCAAATTATAAAGAAAAATTACATAAAATTTTTAAATAAAATTTAGTAATGTCTATGTCCATTTTCTGACTATGTAGTTATAAATGTAAAAAGTTTTCAAATACTATTATTTTATTATGCAAATTACATTACAATTACAATTTGTACATAAATTATACTATAATTAATATTGTAATCATAATTCATAGTTTATGTTTCGACGAGGTTTCGAGTTTTCAAAAAATTAACAAATAAGTTATTTAAATTGCTTTGAATAATTCTAAATTGAACTTTAAATGTATAAAAGCAATCACTAATTTATATAATTATATGAAATTTAAATGTCATAGAATTTTTGTACTCTCTTTAACATTCTTTAAGTTGTCATAATTTATACTGAAATAAATTAATTTCTTTATCTTGTGAATGTAAAACAAATTATAATCGTATAAAATTGTTAAGAATATAGTTAAATTTATAGCAAAGTATTTAAGTATTCAAAAAAATATAAATATAAATGTATTATGTGTTATAGCTTAAGGTACGTTTGCACTACACGTATCTGTTGTAAATATATTTTTCGCTTTCTCTTACGTTTCTTAACTACTCTCTTACGTTACGTTACTTAAAAGATTTATATTAAAAACTGACATAATATTATATTTATAATTAATTGATCTCATACATTTATATTCAGATATTTATAAGATTTTTTCTGACGTTATTAAATCTTTCGTTATAAATTCAATTCAATATTCTTAATAATTTTACGTAGTTATAGTTTACGTTTCGTATTCACACCAGTCTAAAACAAATTTATTATTTTATTATTATATTTTTCAGACTAATATAAATGTAAAAGATAAAAAAAACTTCGTTTTCCTGCTGAATTATAATTCACTTAGTTAAAACAATTAATTTACTAAATGTGAACTATTTTGTAACAGGCTAAAAGAATACTAAAGAGAGTTCAATAACATTCAGATCTCGTTTAGAGTATAGAAATGAATAAGTATTCTCCTTTATCATAAGTTCAATTTATAATCAATAATTTATATTCAAAGAGATTCAAATTATAATTATGACTAATACAATGACTAATACAATATTAATGATCCTAAATAATGTGTATTTTTAATCATTAATATGTGTTTTATGAAACATAGTCATATTTATTTTTTTATAATAAAATTACAAGTATGTACATGTTGTATAAAAAAATCAATAAACGTGTATAAGTGCAAGTGCATGAAATTATGTTTTTCTTAAAAGTTTGAATGTTGCAATAAATTTGCAGGCACTGCATTATAATGCATTTTCAGGCAAACAAAATCTATAAAAGAGGAGATAGGTTATTCGCGAAATGGTCGAAGATTTAGGCGAAAACGGAAAAAGAGGGGGAAGAGGATGGAAACAGGGGGCTGAGAAAGGTTTGTATGGCAATGTGTAGGTAAACCTACATTGCAGAACGCACCCCCAGGAGGGACGGCAGCAACGAGAGTGAACCCTGAGTTTGCAGGGGTTGGACAGAGAGAACGAGGGTCGATATTGTGCTTGACAGATAGTTTCCCATAGCTCCGACAATCCATCATGGCCGGCACGCGGATACGTATTGGTTTTTGTGCAACGCGTCTTAGCTGTGAACCTCGAATTGAATATATTTTTTTTCTCTGCCAATCCTCTTGCGTAAAATTTGTTTTTGCGTGCTGTACGGAATTTTAAAATAAATATAAAGTATAACATTAAATATTCTACTCTTATAAATTTACATGTATATTCATGCATTATGTATATATAGAGCTTATTTTATAAAAAGTATAAATCCATTTTTACAGTTTCCGAAAAAATCTTGTAAAACATTTAAAGCATTAATGTTAATCGCAAATTCACAGTCTGTTATAACACTGTTATAACTTTTATAATATAATCATCCATTTCGTGTAGGTATAAATATATATTTTAAAATATATATCTATACTAATATATATAAATATATATTTTAAAATATATATCTATACACAACACACACACACACACACACACACACACACATATTTCTTATCGTGAGGATATCTTCTCATTTCATGTAAAAATTAAAAATGTAATTTACACTTCTATATTAGAGCTACAACGAATTATCAATTCATAGAGCGTATTGACTGAAAGCTACTTGTAAACCGGTTACGATACATCGCCAAATCCAATCTTAACTTGATAGTTACAATTAATTTGATGCGATCCGTTAAATTCGTAATTGTCGAACGGATGATGACGTTGATTATAGGGCTCTCCGACGGAAAGGTCTTCCTCGCTAAAGCTTCAATAAACCCATGCTTCACGTTGATATAAAGTAATGCAGTGATCATATCACTCAACTAGAATTGCTATTAGAGAATTCTTACTATTCGACTTATTATTTATTTATGACGTCATACCATCGATTCGCAATTGCCCGAAGGTTAAACATTTACAGATTATTCGAATCATTCTTCATGTATACGATTGAAACCTAATTTCAATGATAATAATTGCTTTGGCGGAGTCATCGAACTGTCGACGCTGGATGGATGATGGTGCGGGGTAGATTATAGCAGTGCAGAAAGAAAGATAGAGAGAGAACAGACGAACGGGTGCATAAACCATCCTGCGAATTACCGAGAGAAAGCATAACAGATACACGTGTCTTGGCGGCTCCGCTTTGCGACACATGATTCATGGGGGTCTTGATACGTTTTTTACACCTGCGACAGCTTTATTGGAAATTCTAATGGAGAGGGTCCACCATGCAGAGTGACACGAGACCTCAAGGCAATGCACCTTGGATCGACTGAAATAGGCCGATCAGGCCTTATTTCTTGCCACAGAATCTCGCTATCATCAGGCATCAATTGCGTTAAATCGAAACACATTGACCCGTTGACACGCGCGTTCGCGCGTACAAAGAATAAAATAATATTTTTTATTAAATATAAAAACGTAAAAAAAGTTATATAATTTTATGTTATTTTTACAACTCACATTTATTTTCTTTCTTCGCGTTTTAATAATGTAATTTAAAATAATCATAAATCTGTAGTTAATTAATGTACAACAATCATAAATTTGTAATAATATATATATGCGAAATATCTAAAATTCATATATATAATGTATATAAATCGATCTGCGTGATACCATATTTAACACATATATCTTTCTATTTATCCTGAATTGTATACGTACAAAATTCTTATCTCTCTCCCTCTCTAGATTTGATAATAATATATTTATATACATATATATCAAAATTAAATAAGTTTAACATATTTCATAAATAAATATGTATTTTCAAAGTGATAGCAATAATGGACAGATAGTTGAGCATTGCTCATTGAGTGATAAAGAATTTTGGTTGATCATTTAGGTGCCAGTCTTTGGATTGCAATTTTTCATCAGCCACGCGAAAGAAGAGGCCTAAAGTGATAGTGTATGGGACAAACAGCCGACTTTGAAGTGGCGAATGCTATGGAAATAGTGGGGATACGGTAGTATACGTACACAGATGCGACGACTCGAAGTAGAAGAGATAGCCAGTTTCTGACTGAGCAGTGGGGTAGACGATTAAGTAGTGGGGGGAAGAAGAGGAAAGGGTAGGACGGCCGGGGGCGGGCGCGCGCCACAATTCAACGAGAACAGCCGCACTCACCACATCTGGCGAGCAACTGCCACACTAGCGGCCTATATTCAAAATTTTATTCTTCCTTTCGAAATGCTAATGCCGCGAACTTAACAGCGATCTATAGAATAGTAATAAAAATGTAACGCAAATAACCGACGTAACAGAGAAAATAATAAAGAATCTAAATTCAAGTTTCAATTTTATCGTAATAGCTGAAAAATCGTTGTTCTCAAGATTTGATTATTTTAACAATAATAAAATTTCAATAACACGTAAAGGAATAAAAAAAATTTTAGAATTAAAAAAAAATAAAATATTGGAAAGAAACTGTAAACTAATCGCATGCGAAGAAGTGAATACAATGGAACCACTGTTAAAATGTCAAAGAAATTTTGCATAAAACGTAAAAAACTCGTTTAAAGTCTTATCTGTGATGAGCAACGAGAGCTCCGCCTCCTCAACCGTCCCCTCCGCCCCGATGCTACCCCGGAGTGCCCCCCGTTTGACCAACTGGCTACTACGTCACACATGCTTCTGCTTAGAGCCGCCAACTCCGAAGGTTCTCCTCTCAGGCCGGCTCAGTGAGTTACGAGTTGCGTCCGGGTTCGCCGTACGAGCGATAACGGGGGCGTCAATCGAATCGCGATTGGGAGAGGATTCTACCTCGTGCACGTTCTTCCCTCCTTGTCTTTCTCGGCTACAGGCAACAGGTTTGAATTTATGGGACAATAAAGAGTGTGGTGCGTAGTGCGCGTGTCTCTCTCTCTCTCTCTCTCTCTCTTTCTCTCTCTGTTTCTCTCTTTTTCTCTTTTCCTTCCTTTACGCATTTCTTTTCCGCTCTATAGGCCGCCCTTTCTCTCCTGTCCTTTCGTTGTGAAAAGAGGAGTGAGCGGCGAAGACTATCAAACTCTCATAAAACTGTCAACCGTGGCCACCGGGCTGACTTATGTGCGCCCCTTCCTTAACCGCGGTTGGAGAATCACACGCTTTCAGGTTGAATTTACACCTCTCGCGCGACGAACGCGAACGCAATCCCATCTCAAACATCTTAACGAAAGATCAAACGTTATATAATCTCCGCGATCAAGGAAAAAAGCGATTCGAAGTGAAGCTGATCGTACCTTGGACTCACGGTCCCGCGCATTACAATATGCAAGTACAGCAATCCGCACTTGTAAAACATATTTTTCTTCCGACTTGTGATCAGGAAAAGATATGATACGTATGATCGAGCCAAAATGGATTCGCGACGGATGAAATCAGCGAAGATACGGTGATATTAATGGGCGAATCGTTTTCGGTCGATCAGTAAGGAACAATCGCGCCTTCGTGTGCCGCGTACCACCCCTTTTCTTTTTCATCTGTCTTCACCGCGAGGCTATACAGTAGGGGGCGCGTGCGCGCGTAGCCCCCCTCGCAAAGCGGACGGAAGACTGCTTCTTGGTGACGTCGCGGCTAGAAGGCTGCAGAGGAGAACGAGAGAGCGATCGAGATACTTCTCCCCCACCAGCGGTTTCAGGGCTCCCGAATATCTCTCCATTAGCCCCCCTGACGGTGCTATCCCCTCTCCTTGACCCCTCTCTCGCCCTCTTTCTCTCTCTTACGCACACCCCTCTCATCGGTTCCTGTCACGTCGGGTAGCAGCCGGGCAACACTACCACACGACGAGCGCCAGCGGCAGCGGAGACTCGACGGAGACGCAAGGAACGGGGTTGAAGAATCGTACGCCGACGGAGAGACCAATCAAGGTTTGACGAACGGCAGGGATTGGTCGAGGCGCTCCTCTGACACGCAGAGAGCGCGGGCACGTGACAAGCTACCGCACACACCGGCCTTCCGTTGGATCGCGGCGAGGCCTTCAGTACGATACCAACCACCCTTCGCGCACGCAACAGGAACGGCGAACTCGCGCGTTGGTACATTCTTCACCCTTTACTACCGCGATCGAGTCTCTACCGTTGCCGCGTTATAAAGCCGTCTGTTAAGTGCAACACCTGTGACAACATTGATGCGCAATTAATCACCGCGTGAATAATTTTAATGCGCACACTTATGTGTTACCTCGCATGTTATTTCATTGAGAAGATACTTTGCAAGGTCATCTTCAATGGGGCGCCCCGATAAGCTGTTCGTTACGCGCTACTGCACGATGGGCCTACGAGTTCTCTGTAGGTAATCGCGACTCCTGAGGTCATAAAGAAGCAGAAGACAGTTTTATAGCCCAGGCCCACGTGGCCCTCATAAACTTGACTCGCAGGTCGGTTCGAATTCAGGCTCGACCCGCCTGCCGCCAGACGTCTGCCTCTCTCTCTATTAGTCTTGAACCCCTCGTTCATTATCGAATCGCTTAGGGACGTGTTTCTCTCGCGTGTAACAGGTCGTGATAGTTGTGAATCGTTCGACGAACAAGGTGAAACTTGTCAGAGGAGCCGGTCCACGTGTGTCGTGCGATTCTCGTCGTTGTCATTGCAGCACGATGACGAGTTTCAATACTTAATGACGGCGCGCGTTGTTCAACCGCCTCAACTGATCGAACACAACGTCAGTGTTTTCGTGAATGACGGAACGTAGACGTGTAAAATTGGTATAGTGACGTCGACGGCAGGTGAAGGTACGTGAAGAATGAGTTCCTATCAGTTTGTCAACTCGCTTGCATCATGCTACGCGGGTCAACAGCCACAGCAGCAGCCGAGACCGACCGCAAATTCGCCTGGAGAACCGATGCAGGCAGCATCGCCGGCCGGTGGCGAATACTACAATCCGAATGCAGCGTCCACCAGCTATCCCGCACCTTGCTATTCGCCTCAACAACATTATCCTCAGCATCCTTATGCCGCGCCGGCGTCGGGTATGCAGCATACAGCACCAACAGGGATGATAGACTATACTCAACTGCAACCACAGCCTCGGCTAAACGCGACCACGACGTCACAGCAACACGGTATGCACGCTCAACAATCGCAACATCATCAGCAATCGCATCATCCTCAACAACTTCACGCGGATCCGACGACGCCTCTCCTGCAGGGTGCTTCGGCATCGTCAGCACCATCAACGTCCAGCTGCAAATATGCTGATTCGACATCGTCTACCAGTGTGGCATCTCCTCAAGATTTAACCACATCCACTTCGAGAAATAGCCCAACGCCCTTAGTGACACCCGGCACTAGTAAAGCTGCATCAGGATTGACTTCACCGCCTGGTAGCTCGTCAAGGTCGTCCGTGGCTGCGTCCGCTGCCTCGCCACCCAGTGGTAGCTCGAGGGGCGTCGGCGAGGGAAATTCAACGCTGACAACAGCATCTTCCGCTTCGTCGCCCGCTTCCTCCACATCCAGCACCTCTAGCACGGGTAACAATTCGTCCAACAAGGGGAACTCTTCTGGCACTAATCCGCCTCAAATATATCCATGGATGAAAAGGGTTCACATTGGTCAGAGTAAGTCGTTTATCAATCGTATCTTTTAAATTTTGTAATCACTAAAAATAATGCGGTCTTCAAGACACAGATCTTCTATTTCATCTTTTCTTATTTCTGAATAAAAGAAACTTGCTGTTAATCTTATTAAAACAGTAAAAGAAGGCATTAATAATTAAACTATTTAATTCGTTATATTGTTAAGATTACAACCGCTTAGGATTCTATAAGTATTTTATTCTTAATATTTAAAATTTTTAAACTTAAATGTGACACATGATTTAATGTTTTGATTAACATATTAAACGTATATAGGTATATATTTATTCTTTTTGACTTTCGAAATGTCCATTTATTAAAAGCGTACAGATAATAAATTACAGCTAAAATACGATTCGACATATTATAAATCTATTTAATTTTGATGATGACAATCTCCACGCAAATGTTATGTTTCGCATTTTAACGATATAAACGCAGGAATAATTTTGACATTCGAAAAATATCACTTAATTTAAAACGCAAATATCTATTTTTTATTTGTAGATACTTGCTTATTTTTATCGCGTTTTAAGTGCAAAAGCGTATAAATTTACGTAATGCGGCCTTCTGTAATTTTTGTGCGAGATGATTAGGAAAAGATTTAGAAAGGATTACGAATAATCTACATTTAGTAATATTTAATATATTTATGTTTGTCGATTATTTTATAAATAATCGATAAAATTTAATAGATAAGGGATAATAAAAGTAGTGAAAGAGCAATTAATAAATTACAGTATCTAAAATCAAAATGCAGATTACGTATATATTAATTAAAAAAACATACGTTATATATAAACATATTTCATCGTGAAATAATTACAAATATCTTCAAAGTAATATACGCTTTTTATCATCATGGATACTGCAAGAAATATCTAAAAATTATTAAATGCGATTAACAATAGTTGGATAACATTCCTACATCTATAAAATTTTTACGTACACTAAAAATTAAGTTATCTCTCTCTCATCATCACAAAATAGATCAATCAAATAGATAGACAATCAAATTTAACATTACTTTAATAAAAAAATTTAAATGGTTTATAAAACAGCTTTCTGTTTTGATTTTTATTCCTGCAAAAATATAGAAAATATTTTTCTTGTCGAGTATAATAGTTAAATAAATACTATATGACTAATTGAACAAAATATAAATTAGGTAATAAAGTTACATTACTATAT